AAGGGGTTAAGCGTTGCGCCGCGCCCGGGAGACAGAGAGGGCGGATTCCACGCCTGCGGCACATTCCTGCGTGCACGGCGGGCGAGCCGCGCTGGAAGCTGTCTGTACTTGATGGTGAATTTGCAGGTAATTTACAGGCACACGTCCGGCTGTCTCCCAACCTGAACATTATCCCCGACACCGATGGAGGACGCCGCGATCTTCACATACCTTCCCCCGATACTCATAGGGGCGCCTCCAGCCTATCACAGCGACGCAGGACATTGCGAAACCTTCCGCTCCCCCTGCCATCGCCAAGTAGCCAGCAGTGGAAAATCAGTGTTTGCCTTCAGTCTCCGACTTCGCAGCAGGAAGCTCCCTGCAACCCCGAAGGTGACCACGCGCGTCTCGGATCTGCGACCAACCTAGAGAACGTGCGAGCGCAAACGAAGCCGATCGAAATATTACGACATGCAAGCTCCATTGTTCCACGCTTGCGATCAGCCTAAAATAACAATCAAAAAAATGTGATCGATCGGTTATCAATGTCAGTTCCGGTCATTTGATCGATCGGTTTATGTCAATTTTTCGGTTACATTCAGGTCGCTTTCGGTTATCAATCGATCATTTGATCAATCGCTTATCAATGTCACTTCCAGTCATTTGATCGATCGGTTATCATTGTCAGTTCCGGTCATTTGATCGATCGGTTATCAATGTCAGTTCCGGTCATTTGATCAATCGGTTATCAATTTCACTTCCAGGCATTTGATCGATCGGTTATCAATGTCACTTCCGGTCATTTGATATCGATCGGTTATCAATGTCGCTTCCAGTCATTTGATCGATCGCTTATCAATGTCACTTCCAGTCATTTGATCGATCGGTTATCAATGTCACTTCCGGTCATTTGATCGATTGGTTATGTGACTTCCGGTCATTTGATGATGTTACTTCATTCCGGTCATTTGATCGTCACTTCGGTTCGATCGGTTATCAATGTCACTTCCGGTCATTTGCTCGATCGGTTATCAATGTCACTTTCAGGCATTTGATCGATCGGTTTATCAATGTCACTTCCGGTCATTTGATCGATCGGTTATCAATTTGTTCACTTCAATGTTGCTTCCGGTCATTTGATCCGGTTATCATTTGCGGTCGATCGGTTATCAATGTCACTCCCCGGGCAATTTGATCGATTGGTTATCAATGTCACTTCCGGTCATTTTGATCGATCGGTTATTGTCAGTTCCGGTCATCAATCATCAATTTCCGGGCATTTGATCGATCGGTTATCAATGTCACTTCCGGTCATTTGTTTATCGTCATCCGATTATCAATGTCACTTCCGGGCATTTGATCGATCGGTTATCAATGTCGCTTCCGGTCATTTGATCGATCGGTTATCAATGTTGCTTCCGGTCATTTGATCGATTGGTTATCAATGTGACTTCCGGTCATTTGCTCGATCGGTTATCAATGTCACTTCCAGGCAGGCATTTGATCGATCGCTTATCAATGTCAATTCCGGTCATTTGATCGATCGCCATTATGATTGGTTCCCTAACACGCACCCAGGTATTGGTTCAAATAATGGGAAGTGACTGTCGTTTTGAGGCGGCCGACCGACGCAACAAAATCGTTTTTTTTTTTTTTTTATTTGATTCAATCAAGTTAGTTGCATCAAATAATCCAATAAATAATTAAATCAGGATTGAAATAAAATGAAGAAATTAAAAAAAATAAATAAAATAATATAAAATATAAAATCATTTATCTTTAGCAATATATTATAAAATATATACAAATACACAGCGTGACCCTCGTCTGGTCGGGACACAAGGAAATGTGTGTAAAAAATAATAATAATAATAATTTTTCATATATATATATATATATAATATAATTTGTGTTCAAAATAATATCAGTGATGAAAAAAGTGAATAAAGCTGCAAATCCTTCTAATACTTTTATTTCCATCCACACAAATGCATTGGGAACACGACACATTCTATTCCAAATCACAACATGAAGGAAAATACATCAAATTTGTGTTGTTCCTCTAAAAAAAATGGAAGAAAAGTGAATATTAGACGGTTCAAAAAAAAATGGCCGTGTTTGTATTCTTCTTTACAAACTCCAACATTCACTATATAAACTGAGAAATGTTTGAAGGTTTTGCTTTCCTTTGAATGACTTCATGAATATTTGGTTGTAGTCGCACTGTTTCTGAGAACTGCTGTACATCTGTGTGTTGCATGGAGTCCCCCAACTTCTGGCCCCTGTGATCAGGTATTCCAGCCCAGGATGATTGGACCACATTCCACAGTTCTTCTCTATTTCTTGGTTTGGCCTCAGAAACGGCATTTTTTTGATGTCACCCCACAAGTTTTCTATTGGATGAAGATCCGGGGATTGGGCTGGCCACTCCATAACGTCCATCTTGTTGGTCTGGAGCCAAGATGTTGCACGTTTACTGGTGTGTTTGGGGTCGTTGTCTTCTTGGAACCCCCATTTCAAGGGCATTTCCTCTTCAGCATAAGGCAGCATGACCTCTTCAAGTATTCTGATGTATTCAAACTGATCCATGATCCCTGGTATGCGATAAATAGGCCCAACACCGTAGTATGAGAAACATCCCCATATCATGATGCTTGCACCACCATGCTTCACGGTCTTCACAGTGTACTGTGGCTTGAATTCAGTGTTTGGGGGTCGTCTGACAAACTGTCTCCGCCCACTAGACCCAAAAAGAACAATCTTACTTCCATCAGTCCACAAAATGTTGCGTCATTTCTCTTTAGGCCGGTCAATGTGCTCTTTGGCAGATTGTAACCTCTTCAGCACACGTCTTTTTTCCCAACAGTGGGACTTTGCGGGGGCTTCTTGCAGATAGCTTGGCTTCACATCGACGTCTTCTAATTGTAACAGTCCTCACAGGGAACGTCACACCTTCTTTCATCTTCCTGGAGCTGATTGTTGGCTGAGTCCTCACAGGGAACGTCACACCTTCTTTCATCTTCCTGGAGCTGATTGTTGGCTGAGTCCTCACAGGGAACGTCACACCTTCTTTCATCTTCCTGGAGCTGATTGTTGGCTGAGTCCGCCCCATGTTGGCTATTCTTCTATCCATTCAATGGTAGTTTTTTTGCTTTCTTCCTATCTTTCGTTTTCAGGTTTTGGTTGCCATTTTAAAGCATTTGCCATCATTTTAGCTGAGCAGCCGATCATTTTCTGCACTTCTTTATATGTTTTGTTTTTTTTCCCCTCTCCAATCAACTTTTTTAATCAAGGCACGCTGTTCTTCTGAACAATGTCTGGAACCACCCATTTTCCTCAGAATTTCGGAGAGAAATGCACTGTAACCAGCATGTCCAACATTTGCTGCCTTCCTTCCTTAAATAAGGGCAATAATTGCCACCTGTTTATCAAAGAATGAATGACGTCACTAATAAAACTCCACACTGCGATTATTGTGAACACGCCCCTTTCAATGAGTGATTCAATGACACAGAATCAGCAGCATGCATGTCATGACTGTCGGGTCTGTTGGATTTCTATGACTCTATATACCGGCTAGGAAATTATTTGCCATGTAGAAATATCATTTCCACCAAAAACAGCGATTGATCCGGTTAGTGATGTCTGACTTGCTAGTATTTTGGACACAAATATATATATATTATAACAATTGAATTAAAAAATAATAATAATTAAATAAATAAAAATGTTATTTTTATTTATATATATATATAAATATATAGTGTATAGTGTGTATTATATATAATACATTATTGCTTATATTATCATTATTATTGTGTATTCAATTATTAGTGTTATTATTTTAAATTATATTTATTATTTAAAAAAAAAAATATGTATATATATATATATATATATATATATATATATATATATATATATATATATATCTTTTATTTATTTAATTATTATTATTTTTTAATTCACATTATTTAATTATTATAAAATAATAATTTAAAAAAAAACTAATATTAGATATAAAATATTATAACAATATATAACAATATGAAAATAATAAATATATATATATATATAGGAAAAATTTTATTGAGTTAAAATATGATTTTATATTGTTTTACTCATTATAAATTATATTTACTATTCAATTATTAGTATTACATTATAAAATTATTATATGAATTATTATTAAAATGCATAATATAATTATATATTCTTTTCATATTTATATTATATATTGTTATAATATTTTATATCTAATATTTAGTTTTTTTTTTATTATTATTTTATATATATTATGTTAAATGTAAAATGATGTAATAATAATATTTATTCAATCATTAGTATTGGTCCCTTCATTATACTGGAGAATTCCTCCATTGTGAAAAAAAAAATTGAATCTTATCTTTCTTATATATAACGAGCAGAATTGGGGAAACGCAGGGCCCAGGCTGGGAATGGCTGACACTGTCCGGGACTGGTGGGGGGGGGGGACTCCCTCCATCCCTGCTGCACTTTTATGTCCGATATTGGAAGCACGTGCTGCGGGGCTGCCAGCCTGTCAGGTGGAGGGACATTGTGGGGTCACTCGGGGTCAGCGATTCCGAAATATCATTTCCTATTAGGCCTGAAAGTCAGCAAAGGGATTGCAGAGTTTAGTGATGGTGCAGCGACCCCTGCTGGACACGTCTGGAACTGCCAGACAACCAGCACTGAGGTCTATGCTTCTGTTTCCCATCCCTGTATTCTCCTGTCCCACATCTAGGCCCAAATCCTGGTGCCTGTGCACTGCCTGGCTGTGTTCACAAATGTCTGACACAGATCAGCCCCTGGCTGATCACTGGGGGAGGGGAGACTGAGGAAATGCCCCCTCCTCCTTCTACAAAGTTACAATGTACAGTCTGATCACTGGGGGAGGGGAGACTGAGGAAATGCTTCAATGTCATGTTCAATGTTGTCTGTGATGGTAGAAGTCGCCCGTTCTCATAACAGATTCGGTTTCCTCCCAGTTGTAGGTGACGATGATGGTCTGGTTCCTGATTGGCTTCCTGCTTCCTCTGGCGATATTCGCGGCTCCGCCCCCGATTAACCGGCTGGCCCTTTTCCCGGATAAGAGCGCCTGGTGTGAGGCCAAAAAAACATCACCCAGATCGTCGGCCACAGCGGCTGCGAATCCAAGTCCATCCAGAACAGGTGAGACGCCACCGACCTTCCAATCCGATTGTACGATCTGCTGTGGATTCACACCACGGGGGGGGGGGGGGAGGGGTGCCGGGGCCCCCGGATTGGGTGGCAGTCGGTTCTCACTTTCATCTGCCCACATACATTACAATCTCCTCCAGAACTGCTCCTCGGGTCGATACAATTTGGGTGGGCTCTGCAGACGGGCCCTCACATGACACGGTTTTGCCTGACGCGGATTGTACAATCAGATTGTAAGATGTGTGGCCAGCGTTAGATGAACGTACGTGCCGCTCACACCAATCGTTGTGTCTGCGGGTGGTTTATACACACGTCACAATCTGATTGTACAATCTACAGCTTGTCTGAGCGATCCGTCCCTTCCCTATCCAATTCGGAGATCGTACAATCAGATTGGAGGGTGTATGGCCCGTGCGGTCTGCAGTCGGTGTATTGATGGGATTTGTCTGATTTCAGGGCGTGTCTGGGACAGTGCTTCAGCTACAGCGTCCCCAACACCTTCCCGCAGTCCACCGAGTCGCTCGTGCACTGCGACTCCTGCATGCCGGCCAAGTCCATGTGGGACGTGGTGAGTATAATGGCCGCTCCGCCTTCACTGGCTGAATGCTTGTTACAAGGGCTCCGCCTCTGTGTGTGTCCGACCTTCCTGCATCGTGTCCTACAAATACATCCAGAATCTTCATATGTAAGGGGGGTGTGTCCTAAGTCTTTGTACATAAGGGGTGTGTCCTAAATATGTATATGAAGGGGCATGTCCTCAATCTGTGCATAAGGGGGCGTGTCCTCAATCTTTGTACATAAAGGGGCGTGTCATCATTCTTTGTACATAAAGGGGCGTGTCCTCAATCTTTGTACATAAGAGGGCATGCCCTAAATATTTGTACATAAAGGGGCGTGTCCTCAATCTGCATAAGGTCGGCATGTCCTAAATCTTTGCACATTATGGGGCGTGTCCTAAATCTTTGTACATAGGAAGGCCTCCTTATTTACAAAGATTTGGGGACCCGCCTCCTAATGCGTAAATATTTAGGACATGTCCCCTTATGCAGATTGAGGACACGCCCCTTTATGTACAAATATTTAGGGCACGCCCCCTTATGTACAAAGATTGAGGACACACCTCTTTTGTACAAAGATTTTTATGATGCGCTCTTATGTACAAAAATGTAAGACACACCCCCTTATATACAAAGATTTAGGACACGCCCCCGTAAGTCTATACATTTTTTTATACATAAGAGGGCGTGTCATAAATCTTTGTACAAAAGGGGCGTGTCCTCAATCTTTGCATATAAGGGGCCATCCTAAATCTTTGTACATAACGGGGTGTGTCCTAAATATTTGTGCACAAGAGGGCGTGTCATAACTGTACAAAAGGGGCATTTCCTAAATTTTTTTTTACATAAAGGGACTGTCCTAAATCTTTGCACATAAGGGGTGTGTCCTAAATCTCTATACATAAGGGGAGGTGTCTAAAATATTCCTTTATTAAGGGCATCATGAATCTTCATACATACGGGGGCGTGTCTTAAATCTTCATATATAAAGGTGTGGGAAGGGATGTCCTGAATCTTCATACATAAGGGGGCGTGTCTTAAATCTTCATACATAAAGGTGTGGGGAGGGATGTCCTAAATCTTCATACATAAGGGGGCGTGTCTTAAATCTTCATATATAAAGGTGTGGGGAAGGATGTCCTAAATCTTCATACATAAGGGGGCGTGTCTTAAATCTTCATACATAAAGGTGTGGGGAAGGATGTCCTAAGTCTTCATACATACGGGGGCGTGTCTTAAATCTTCGTACATAAAGGTGTGGGAACGATGTCCTAAATCTTCATACATAAGGGGGCGTGTCTTAAATCTTCATACTAAAGGTGTGGGGAAGGATGTCCTAAATCTTTCATACATAAGGGGGCGTGTCTTAAATATTCATACATAAAGGTGTGGGGAAGGATGTCCTAAGTCTTCATACATACGGGGCGTGTCTTAAATCTTCATACATAAAGGTGTGGGGAGGGATGTCCTAAAATCTTCATACATAAGGGGCGTGTCTTAAATCTTCATACATAAAGGTGTGGGGAGGGATGTCCTAAATCTTCATACATAAGGGGCGTGTCTTAAATCTTCATACATAAAGGTGTAGGGAGGGATGTCCTGAATCTTCATACATAAGGGGGAGGGGTTCCCCGTACACCCACCAACTCACCGTCCCTCTCGCCCCTCCCTCGCTCTGCAGGTGACCCTGGAGTGCCCCGGGAACGAGGAGGTGCCACGGGTGGACAAGCTGGTGGAGAAGATTCTACGTTGCAGCTGCCAGTCCTGCGGGAAGGAGCTCAGCCAGGAGAGCGCCATGTTTAACGTTTACCTGAACACGGCAGAGGAGACTCTCTCACCCGCCGAGAACATTGGGCGCCACCAGCACCACCAGGAAGAGGAGACGCCCCCCACGGCCCAACGCGAAGGCGAGAGCGAAGAGTGAGCCGCCCGCCAAGCTCAAAAGACTTGCACCCCCCATGCGTTGGGTGCTCCGCCATGGCCAATCGGCGCCAACATTCCACAAAGACTGCAACACGTCAAATCTTGTAGGCCACAAAGAAACTTTTTCCATGTCGGAGAGTCAGAAGGGCCCCCCCCCCCCCCCAGTGAGACACAAAGAGTCAGAAGGGCCCCCCCCCCCCACAAATGAAAGGATAAACATTGGTCCAAATTCCTTCCCATCCCCCATCACAGCAGATAACGAGGATATCGGTCAGTTCTTTGTGCAGAATTTTCTGTTGGTTGCGCCATCGTCCCCCCAACGCCATGACGCCCGCCAAGACCTCACCTATGATATGAGGCATCATGACATTGACGCTTCGTGCCAATCGGTTACGCTAATCAGATGATGGCGTGACTCTGCCACTTGCACCAATCAGGGGTTGAAGGGGAGCTCCACCTAAAGGACAGTTGGAAAGTCAGGTGACAAGCGCTGCATTGGGTGGTTTTGAGGTCAACAAGTTGGAAACATCAGACGGGTGTATAGAGATGTCCTAGTATGAAAATGTCCCAATGCTCCTATGGCTGAGGGTTCAAGCTGCCCCCCCCCCCCTTCCACTTCTGGCCTCACAATTGGCTGGCACGGTTGCCCATTGCAGTTGTAGGCCAATAAGGAAGGTTGGGCCCAGTCCGTCCACCATTGAGTCCTTCAGAACGCTTCAGGTTCCATATTTCCTGCCTGATCAATGAGTTTAATGTGACCATCGGGAAGTGGATAGGTAGTGCTGGACCTCAGGGGTTGTCCTATTGGTACTCCTAAGAAGAAGGGCGGAGCTATAACCAGGGAACAGACTGGCCTTAGTTTCCTGAGCTCAGAGAGGGGCGGATCTATAACAAGGGAAAACCCACCGGCTGCAGTTTCCCGGGCTCAGAGAGGGGCGGAGCTAGAACCAGGGAACCCACTGGCTGCAATTTCTTTGGTTCAGAGAGGGGCGGAGCTAGAACCAGGGAACACACCGGCTGCAGTTTCCCAGGCTCAGAGAGGGGCGGAGCCAGGGGCGGACTGACCATTTGGAAACTCGGACACTGCCCGAGGGCCCGAGGTCAGTAGGGGGCCCATGAGATGCCCCTGGTACCTTTTTCATAGGCTTTTTTGAGTTTGGGCAAGGACACGGGGGCCCCATGATCCCCTATTGCCCGGGGGCCCCATGAGTTGTCAGTCCGTCCCTGGGCGGAGCTAGAACCAGGGAATGCACCGGCTGCAGTTTCCCACGCTTAGAGAGGGGCGGAGCTACAACCAGGAAACACTGGCTGCAGTTTCCTGGGCTCAGAGAGGGGCGGGGCTAGAACCAGGGAACACACAGGCTGCAGTTTCCCGAGCTCAGAGAGGGGCGGAGCTAGACCCCAGGAAACACGCTGGCTGCAGTTTCCCGGGCTCAGAGAGGGGCGGAGCTAGAACCATGAAACGCACCGGCTGCAGTTTCCCGGGCACAGAGAGGGGCGGAGCTAGAACCAGGGAACACACCGGCTGCAGGTTCCCGAGCTTTGTAGTAGAGGTTGCAAGAATGCATCTATAGACCCAATAATGTTTTCTGAAGGTGGAGATCCCCTTTAAATTTTTGCAGGAACTTTCTTCCCCCCTCCGGTTGTGAAAAGGCAAAAAAACGAAAATATTTCCTGATATTGGAAGTAATCGTCTCTCCCCCCCCCCCCCCCCCGATACATCGTACTGCTTGAAGAATGGAGGGATCATCTGGCAAATCCCCAACCACAGCGCCACCCACACCCACAGGCCGATAGAAGGAACTGCACACAGACCGAATGACATGATATTTCACTGCTTTTTTGGGAACTGATCTGTTTTGTACACCGCCGCTGCCATTGCAGCTGCTGAGAAGAGACGTGTATATATATATATATATATACTGTATACCACTTCCATGGATGTTCCTGGCTGTGTCTGCGGATCTGCAGCACAGAAGCGTCTCCAATAGATTGTCACCCCTCCGACCCAGACGGATTTCTCTTTGTTATTCCAAAAGAATAAACATGAGCACTTGGCTGCGTTGAGTGTTTGTGGTGATAGGCGAGACCTGTTGGGTCATGGTGGGTCATGGGTCATGGTGGGTCGTGGTGGGTCATGGCGGGTTGTGGTGGGTCATGGCGGGTCATGGTGGGTCGTGGCGGGTTGGCGGGTCATGGTGGGTCGTCGGTGGGTTATGATAGGTCATGTTGGGTCATGGTGGGCCATGGTAGGTCATGGTGGGTCATGGTAGGTCATGGCGGGTCATGGTGGGTTGTGGTGGGTCGTGGTGGGTTATGGTAGGTCATGTTGGGTCATGGTGGGTCATGGTAGGTCGTGGTGGGTCATGGTAGGTCATGGCGGGTCATGTTGGGTTGTGGATTCCCATTGGACTCCCGCCAACTGCTATAGCCCTTGTTGTTTTTTTTTTTCCCCCATCTGCGTCCCCTTGGGGAGACTTCACTTCCTGTCCTAGAGCCAAAACATGAAGTGAGGGCAAATCCCTGGCTGTCACCAGAACTAGTGACCCCATTGGAAGATTTCCCCTCTGTTCCTGTTCTGGGGACAACCCAAAATTTGGGATTTTCTTTCACTTTTGGTTACAATGGTAATCGAGGCATATAGAGAGAGCGGGCGAATCTCCCCAACGGGGGCCACAGACAGCAAAAAAAAAACAACTTGAGGGTCTAACACTCTCACTCCGCCCAAAAATACTTTAACCGCCAGCAAGGGGTTAAATCTCTCAGTCATTAATGACTGGGTGGAGGAGGGGTGCAATGATGAACCCATGGAGGAGCAGGGGCCAGGGGGTATAAGCTCTCTCAGTCATTAGAATGAGCTGGTAGGGGCTCATGGGGGGGAAATGCAATGGATGTAGGGACCATGGGGGGAGAGAGCTCAGGGGCCAGGTAGGGACCTATGGGGGGAGAGCTCAGGGGCCAGGTAGGGACTTATGGGTTAGAAGAGCTCAGGGGCCGAGGTAGGGACCTATGGGGGGGAGAGCTCAGGGGCCAGGTAGGGACCTATGGGGGGGAGAGCTCAGGGGCCAGGTAGGGACCTATGGGGGAGGAGAGCTAAGGGGCCAGGTAGGGACCTATGGGGAGGAGAGCTCAGGGGCCAGGTAGGGACCTATGGGGAGGAGAGCTCAGGGGGCCAGGTAGGGACCTATGGGGAGGAGAGCTCAGGGGCCAGGTAGGGACCTATGGGGAGGAGAGCTCAGGGGCCAGGTAGGGACCTATGGCGGGGGAGAGCTCAGGGGCCAGGTAGGGGCCCATGGGGGGGGGGGAGAGCTTAGGGGCTCATGGGGAGGGAGAGCTTAGGGGTCCACCCATGGGGGGGGAGAGCACGGGGCAAGGTAGGGGCCCACGGGGGGGAGAGCTCAAGGGCCAGGTAGGGGCTCACGGGGTGGGGGAACACTCAGGGGCCAGGTAGGGGCTCACAAGGGGGAGAGCTTAGGGGCCCATGGGGGGAGAGCTCAGGGGCCAGGTAGAGGCTCATGGGGGGAGCTCAGGAGCCAGGTAGGAGCCCACGGGGGGAGAGCTCAGGGGCCAGGTAGGGGCCCATGGGGGGTACAGTGGGGCTCTTCTGCTGCAAAGTTCACTGTCGTTTCAATCTTAATCTTTTTGGTTACCGATTGTAAAGTTTTCACATTTCATTAGAAGCCACAGACTGACGCTGACCATACACAGCACCATTTGATTGTACAATCTTCTTTAGGCTCAGATCTGTGCTTGTACCTTTGCATGCGCGTGTTGTGGGCAGGGCAATCCATTTCATTGGGTCGCCCTAAATATGAGAAACACGAGGGGGGTTCCCCACACAAACAGATGTGAGCCTTGGTTCAGGGTCTGCCTCATCAGTCCCATTTGTGTCCAATCAGGTGTTCACACTGCACAGTTGTAGGTGCAGCTGCAGGAGATTGTACAATCAGGTTGTATAGTGTATGGTGCTGGCTACACTATACAATGTGGCGTCAACTCTCTTCATATGGGAGGCCTCAGATGTGGCCCCTGACATTCCCAAAGGGCCACACATAACATTTTAGAGACTGAAGTCATAGTACAGGAGACGGCCAGAGACTGCAGATGTGGCAATCGGGAAACAAAGATTAGTGTCTGCAGGGGCCAAGTTAAAAAAAAAAAAAAAAAAGTGCCGCAGGATGGGTAGCAGGGAACTCCGCAGAACAAGGACCAGGCCTGTTTTGATATTAGCTTTGTCCTTCTATTACATCGTTTTGGTGACTCTAAAGGAGGTCAGGTCGTATAGCGTTTGATCAGAATGAAGCTGGCCATATACTATACAATCCCGATTGTACAATCTCCCGTACCTTGTAATATGAGGACAAACCTAAACAATCCTTTCAAAACCGAACTACTCACCTTGTGAGTCAAATGACCCTGACCGCAATATCAAACATTTCCAGCAGGTGTCGCCAGGTCTTTGTACTACATAGTTGATGGTAGAGCTAAAGGAGATTGTACAATCAGATTGTACAGTGTGTGGTCAGTCTGAGACGCACACACTCTCCTGTTGCTGTTTTGTTTGTGGAATAGACCGGCTTCCTAGAAATCATCGCAACCATGTGTGTTCATGTTGAACTCGGTGTGCCATGTAGGGTGGAAACCTCTGCTCGTTCTGCATGCTGTATGTTCTTCATGGTGACTGTGCTTTACTGTTCTCGGATCGCACTGCAAGTTCACTGGACAGGGTCTGTCTGACTGACAACCATGGAAACTCTGCTGGCTGCCTCCAGTCCCGGCACTCTCCGAGACGCCAACTGCCAACAATGACAGAATGATGTCATCACTCAGTTTTTTGGGTCAGTGACTGTTGAAGCCTCTGGACCAACATGGCAACCAGAGAGAGGAGGTCACCAATGGCAGTCACCTTGTTTTCTCAGTAAAATTTAGACTTCCTCTAACATTAAACACCCTGCCAGAAACACTGAGTATGTCCAGCAGGTGTCACCAACCATAAATGAC